GAAGGAATAGTCTTCAAGGTGACCAAAAATAGACAGTTTCGAGTTTAGAATTAATGAGAGGGAACAATGCTGCTAATGAGATTGGAGAGGTAGGCAGATTTGCAGACCATTTAAGGATTAACAGCTATACAGTATTGGGAAGCCATTGAAGGTTTTTAAACAGGGGAATGACATGATCAGATCTGCATTTTAAACAGATAACTGTCAAATGTACAAATACTAGATTGGATGGGGGCAATGGTGAATGCCACCACTTGTCTGTCAGTTTGTTGTACTATGGTGGCTTGTGTGTTGCTGTGATGCTGGAAGCTATGCCACCGGTATTTCAAATACCAGCAGGGTCACTGTTATGGATTGAATTATGTCCCCCAAAAAATATGTATTGTAAATCCTAACCTCTATGCCTGTGGTTATAACCCTGTTTGGGAATGGGTTGTCTTTGTTATTTTAATAAGACACGATTAGTGTATTTTGAGTCAATCTCTTTTAAGATATAAAAGAAATTAAACAAGCAAGCAAAGAGTAGAGATGGGGTATGAGAGATGCAAGCCACATGAAGATCACCCAGGACAGAAGCTCAAAGAGACAAGGACCTTCCTCCAGAGCCAACAGAGAGAGAAGTTCCTCCCTTAGCGCCGGTGCCCTGAATTTGGACTGCTATCCTCCTGACTGTGAGAAAACAAATTTCTGTTTATTAAAGCCACCCACTTGTGGTATTTCTATTATAGCAGCACTAGATAACTAAGACGTCATCCATGGTAGACAGGTTTCAGCGGAACTTCCAGACTAAGACAGACTGGGAAAAAGGACCTGGTGATTTACTTCTGAAAAAACTGGCCAGTGAAAACCTTATGGATAGCAGAAGAACGTTGTCTGACATACTGCTGGAAGATGAACCCCTCAGGTTGGAAGGCACTCAAAATACAACTAGGGAAGAGCTACCTCCTCAAAGTAGAGTTGACGATAATGATGTGCATGGAGTCAAGCTTTCAGGACCTTCATTTGCTGATGTGGCAAAACAAGACTCAAAATGAGAAGAAACAGCTGCAAACCTCCATTAATAATCAGAACATGAAATGAATGAAGGAAAATTGGAAGTTGTCAAAAATGAAATGGAACACTTGAACATGGATCGACTACTATTAGTGAGCTGAAATGGACTGGTATTGCACATTGTGAATCAGACAAGCGTGTGTTCTACTATGCCGAGTATGACAAATTGAAGAGGAATGGCATCACATTCACTGTCAAAAAGAACATTTCAAGATCTATCTTGAACTACAACGCCGTCAGTGATAGGATAATATCCATGTGCCCACAAGGAAGACAAGTTAATACAACTATTACTCAAATTTATGCATCAACCACTAATGTCAAAAAGAAGAAATTGAAGATTTTTACAAACTTCTGCAGTCTGAAATTGATCAAACACACAATCAAGATGCATTGATAATTACTGGTGACTGGAATGTGAAAGTTGGAAACAAAGAAGGTTTGGTAGTTGGAAAATATGACCTTGATAATAGAAACGATGATGGAGATCACATGATAGCATTTTGCAAGACCAACGACTTATTCTTTTCAAGTACTTTTTTTCAACAACATAAATGGTAACTATACACATGGACTTTGCCTGATGGAATACACAGGAATCAGATCGACTACATCTGTGGAAAGAGATGATGGAGAAGCTCAATATCATCTGTCAGAACGAGGCCAGGGGCCGACTGCAGAACAGATCATCAATTGCTCATGTGCAAGTTCAAGTTGAAGCTGAAGAAAATTAGAACAAGTCCATGAGGGCCAAAATACAACTTTGAGTATATTCCATCTGAATTTAGAGATCATCTTAAGAACAGATTTGATGCACTGAACACTAATGACCGAAGACCAGACAAGTTGTGGAATGACATCAAGGACATCATACATGAAGAAGCAAAAGGTCATTAAAAAGACAGGAAAGAAAGAAGGGACCAAAGTGGATGTCAGAAGAGACTCTGAAAGTTGCTTTTGAACATAGAGTAGCTAAAGTGAAAGAAAGAAATGATGAAGTCAAAGAGCTCAACAGAAGATTTTAAAGGTTGACTTGAGAAGACAAAGTAAAGTATTATAATGAAATGTGCAAACTTGGAGTTAGAAAACCAAAAGGAAGAACATGCTTGGTATTTCTCAAGCTGAAAGAACTGAAGAAAAAATTCAAGCCTCAAGTTGCAATATTGAAGAATTCTATGGGGAAAAAATTGGATGATGTAGGAAGCATCAAAAGAAGATAGAAGGAATATAGAGAGTCACTGTACCAAAAAGAATTGGTTGATGCTCAGCCATTTCAGGAGATAGCATATGATCAAAACCGATGGTACTTGTCATGGATTGAATTGTGTCCCCCCAAAAACGTGTGTAGCAACGTGGCTAGGTCATAATTCCCAGTATTGTCTGATTGTGTTATCTGATGTGATTTACTTATGTGTTGTAAACTCTATCACTATGATGAGATTATATGTGATCTCCTTATGTGTTGTAAACTCTATCACTATGATGAGATTATATGTGATCTCCTTATGTGTTGTAAATTCTGTCACTGTGATGAGGTTATACTGATGACGTTGACAAGATTAGATAGTGTCTTAATGCAATCTCTTTTGAGATATAAAAGAGAGAAGCGAGCAGAGACCCATGGGAACCTCACACCATCAAGAAAGCAGTGCCGGTAGCAGAGTGCGTCCTTTAGACCTGAGGTTCCTGCGCTGAGATGCTCCCAGACCAAGGGAAGACTGATGCATCACAAGGACCTTCCTCCAGAGCCGAAAGAGAAAGAAAGCCTTCTGGAGCTGATGCCCTGAATTTGGACTTGTAGCCTACTGGACTGTGAGAGAATAAACTTCTCTTTGTTAAAACCATCCACTTGTGGTATTTCTGTTAGAGCAGCACTAGATGACTAAGACAGTACTTAAGGAAGAAATCCAAGCTGCACTGAAGGCATTGGTGGAAAATGATGCTCCAGGAACTGATGAAATACCAACTGAGATGTTTCAACAAATGGAATTGCTCACTGGTCTATGCCAAGAAGTTTGGAAGACTGCTACCTGGCCAGCTGACTAGAAGAGATCCATATTCATGCCATTCCAAAGAAAGGTGATCCAACCAAATGCAGAAATTATCGAACAATATCATTAATATCACACACAAGTAAAATTGTGCTAAGGATAATTAAAAAATGGTTGCAGCAGTATATATCAACAGGGAACTGCCAGAAAGTCAAGCTGAATTCAGAAGACATAGAACGAGGGATATCATTGCTGATGTCAGATGGATCTTGGCTGAAAGCAGAGAATACCAGAAAGATGTTTACCTGCGTTTTATTGACTATGCAAAGGCATTCAACTGTGTGGATCATAAATTATGAATAACATCGCGAAGAATGTGAATTCCAGAACACTTAATTGTGCTCGTGCGGAACCTGTACGTAGACCAAGAGGCAGTTGTTTGACCAGAACAAGGGGATACTGCATGGTTTGAAATGAGGGAGGGTATGTGTCAGGGTTGTATCCTTTCACCATGTTTATTAAATCTGTATTCTGAGCAAATAATCGGAGAGGGTGGGCTATATAAAGAACGTGGCATTAGGACTGGAGGAAGACTAACAACCTGTGATATGCAGATGACACAACCTTGCTTGCTGAAAGTGAAGAGGACTTGAAGCACTTACTGATGAAGATCAAAGACTATAGCCTTCAGTATGGATTATACCTAAACATAAAGAAAACAAAAATCCTCACTACTGGATCAATAAGCAACATCATGATAAATGGACAAAAGATTGAAGTTGTCAAGGATTTCATTTTACTTGGATCCACAATCAACACCCATGGAAACAGCAGTCAAGAAATCAAAAGATGCATTGCCTTGGGCAAATCTGCTGCAAAAGACTTCTTTAAAGTGTTGAAAAGCAAAGATGTCACTCTGAGAACTAAGGTGCGCCTGACCCAAGCCATGGTATTTTCAATCGCCTTGTATGCATGCAAAAGCTGGACAATGAATAAGGAAGACCGAAGAAGAACTGATGCCTTTTGAATTATGGTATTGGCGAAGAATATTGAATATACCATAGACTTCCAGAAGAACGAACAGATCTGTCTTGGAAGGAGTACAGCCAGAACGTTCCTTAGAAGCCAGAATGGCGAGACTTCTCTCACATACTTTGGACATGTTATCAGGAGGGACCAGTCGCTGGAGAAGGACATCATGCTTGATTGAGGGTCAGCGAAAAAGAGGAAGGCCCTCAACTATATGGATTAACACCGTGGCTGCAACAATGGGCTCAAACATAGCAACGACTGTTGTGAGGATGGTGCAGTACCTGGCAATGTTTCTTTCTGTTGTACATAGGGCTGCTGTAAGTGAGAATCAACTCGATGGCACCTAATAACAACAATGCTGAATGCAGGGAGAACAGCTGGGAGTCTATTGCTGTAGTCACTGAGAGATGATGGTGGCTTGGACTATGGCGGTGGGAGTAGAAAGAAATGGATCAATCTGAGATACACAATTGGAAGAAGAATCTCTTTGGCTGTGATGTTGGAGAATAAGGAAAGTGATTGGAGAGGTAGGGTGGGTTCATTAATAAGCTTGCACTTTATTCTGAAGAGATAAAGGGAGGCCATGTAACATTTTAACCAGGGGAATGATCCATTCAGATATGCGTTTATAAATAGATCACTTGGCAGCTGAGGGTGTTGAGATTGTCGCAACAGTGCACACCGAAGAACTGAGATGAGACTTAAGTGGGGCGGAAGCACGGAGTGGAGAGCAGCGAGAGACTGGAGAGAGGTTTCCAAGTCAGGTACCGAGCTAAACTGTCACAAAGATAAACAGAAACTGACGCAGCACCAGGAACAGCTGCAAGCGGGGAAGAGGGGGTTGGTCTACGTGCCGTCGAAGCCGCCCAGGCCTCCCGGCGCCGCGGGCGGGACTAGGGCACGCACAGCGGGATGACGCAGAGCCCAAGTCAGCCTCGTTCTGGCCGTCGCCACCGCGCTGAGGCGGAGTAGGATGAGGCCCGCGGCCGGGGATCCGGCGTTGGCGGGCGCGGCAGCAGCTGAGGCAGCAGCTGAGGCAGCCGTGACGGCCGCGCCCCCACCTCCTGACCTGGATTAGGCCCAGCAGCTCCGTGGCCGCCGCCGCCCCGCGGGGGGGCGGGGTGGGGAAGTGCTCCGTCTCCCCGCCCCCCCCCCAACACCGCCGCGGAGGAGGCAACCGCCGCGACCCTAGTGGAGCCCGCGGCCGAGGCTTGAGCCCCCATCTCCGGGGGCTGGCATGAGCAGCCCCGCGGCAGCGCCGAGGGGCGGGGGAGCTGCTGCCGCCTGAGCTCCGGCCTGTCGCCCGACCCCACCTCGCCGACCGAGGCTGACCGCGGAGTGTGGGAACGACCCCGCCACTCCTTTCTTCCTTCCCTAGATCACACACCCAGCCCCGGAAGATGGGGAACTGCCTCAAATCCCCCACCTCGGATGACATTTCCCTGCTTCACGAGTCTCAGTCCGATCGGGCTAGCTTTGGTGAGGGGACGGAGCCGGATCAGGAGCCGCCGCCGCCATATCAGGTAGGGGAGGTTGTGTGTTCGGGAAAAGGGTGGGGGGGCGAGGATCCGAGGCAGCTCTAGCCGAGGTTTGAGGGAGCTTCAGCACCGTCACTGCCCCTAGCCCCGACTAGGCCTGGGCTAGGTCTGTTGACCATTCTAGGTCTAGGGCAGAGTCTTAAGGGTGATTGCCCTCCACTCCCAGAATAGGGGTGATCCTTCACCTCCCCTTGGGCAACGTGTGGGAATGGTGCTCTCTGTCTTTGCGTTCTGGGAGTCGAGTATGCAGTCATATCCCCTTGACCAGGGGTCTGGTGATTAGTTTGTGGAGTTTTGGAGTGACATTATTTTCCTGCCTTTATGTCTGAATCGTGGAGTCTGAGTTGTGGGGTTGGGGATGATTTCCTCATCGCACCGCCAACTGGATTATGGGTTCTGGATAAGTGGTTACCTCCCACTCACTCCCTTTGTATTTTCCTGTGGTCGTCATCCTGCCCTCCCGCCTACTACCCCCCCACCCCCCTTCTGGCTCTGTTAATTGAATCTGGTAGGTGTTCATTTCTCCCTCTGCTTGGGGGAGGATCTCTAAGTGGTGGCGATTTTAGTCCCAGCGACATCGAGTTACATATATATGTATATATAGTTTTTTTTTAACCCCTCCTCAACTTTTGCTCCACGCCTGTGACACACCTTCTAAAATGTGCTGACTTAATAAAATTTGATTAGCTTGAGAACTTTGGAGACCTTTAAACCTGACTTGGCAAATATCTTCTGTTAGTTGTGGTTCTCTTTATAGCAAAGACTTTCTCCTAAATAGATTTCATTGCTTTTTGTACAGCAACCAGCAGCCCCAGATGTGTTTACAGAATTAATAATAAACTAAAACTGGAAACTTAAAATATGCAGATGTTAATAATCCATTATACGTACACACCCTTTTTCTTCTACTTTTCCAATTTTAAATGATTTTGAATAAAAACTTTTTTCCAGAAGGGCTTGAGTAGTTAGTCCTTCGTTTTTTCCTGAAGGGAGTTTAGTTTTTCTAACTGGGCAGTCTCCTTTGTTGTTTCATGTGGTGACATCATTATCTAGTGTTTTTTTCTCATTCCTGTGTAAACTTGTGTCTCATCACACAAGAAAAACCTGATCACGTATGCTGGTTTTCTGAATAAAACCCTTCAGGGACCTTTCATATAGATTAATCAAGTCCAGTCTTATTGTGGCATATAGAACCCTCCATGACTTGTCTGTCACATTCTGTATTCCAGGCCTACCAAATGCACCAGGTTGTTCACACCTCTCCCCCCCCCCACACACACACAAGGTCTGCCAGGTGAACATTTAATCCTCTTTGAGAACTCAGTTCTCAGGTCCACAGATCTGAAGCTGTCTCTATCCTGAATCCATCACTCTCATTTGTGTCCCCACTGAACCCTTGTACACATCTGTAAGCAGTACCTATAACACGTTAGTGAATGTTCTTATTAGATGTATGTCACATCCTTGAGTGTAAGCTGCGTGAAGATAGGCCATGTGTCTCTTGTTTGCTGCTGAATCCCCAGCATCTGGCATATAGTAGCTACTCAGTAACTAGATAAATGAAGACTATAACCCCTTGAGAACAGGAACTGTGACTCCAATACTTTGCACAGTTTCTACCACATAAGAAGCACTTAAATGTTGAATGAGTTAATGAATTTAAATTCACTATTATGTTTTCTGTATTTACACACCCGTTTCCCCAAAGAAGTGTCACAGTTGTCATCTTTTAAAACTCCAAGCCAAATCTGTATGTCTTTCCAAATATGTTTTGAGTGAAGCAAGTAAACTGTGTTTATACTTATCTTTGTCCCTTTCCCCATATATATATAATTTGTTTCCATTTTGTGAGAAACATTTTTTAGAAGTATGAGCTTTCATTTCAAAGTTCCCTTCCATATTCTATAGCCCCTTTCCAGGCAAATCGAGTATCTTGACTTATTGCCCTCTTTCCTATCCTTATGATAATTATAGTATTAAGGAATATTTCTTTAGAATTTATGGAAAGCGTATGTATAGTATTTGCCCTAACCAGAAGGACTAGATGATAATAGCAGTTTTTTAGTATCATGAAGGAACAGTTTTTGAAACATGTTATTTGTGACCGTGGGAGTTTTTTTTGTGGTTGCCCTTTCCTGAAGTGAATGATATGCAAATTTAGTATCAATTGGAAGAAAATAATTACTTTAAAAGAGGGGAGCAAAAAAAAAGAGAAACTTTTGTAGAAAAAATGTCCCCCTGAAGGAAATAAAATTTCTTAGAAATGGTTAATATACATGATCTAACAAACACCAGTGCAAGGTTAATGATTTATAATATTTTCATTGGACCTAAGTAACTTATTTTTGTAAAAGAATTAGTATATAATTAGCAGAGCTACAGGAATGTAGGCTTGTTTTTTAAAAAATTAATGTTAACTACAATAGGAATTTTTTTATATATAAAGGGAATAGCTGATTATAAAGGAACACACGTTATTTTTCTGTAGTGAGTAGTTATGTAGTAAGTAATTAGAGGATGACTTTGGTGGTGTTTTGGTTACATAATGTACGTACACGCCAAGAGCTCTATAGAGTAAGCTTTTGTAAGTTCCAGTTATTTCCTTTTAACAGGACCTGACAGATTTGTTTAACTGAAGTTATTTAAAAAAATTTTTTTCCCCTTAAAAACTCTGCACCATATGGTCAAAGTTTGTAAGAAGTGCATACTTCTCTCCTGGGTTAGTTTAATAGCCTCTTAACCGGTCTCCCTGCTTTTACCCGTGCCTCCCTGCAGTGTGTTCCCAACAGAATCTGTACTCCCCCCTGCCCCACACACATCTGTATGACACTTCTCCTTCTACTCTCCCCCTTGTTGGCTCCCCTCCAACATCAGTGGCCTCCTTGCTCTTCCTAGAACACTCTAGGACCTTTGCCTTGGTTTTCATTGTGCCTGGAGTACTCTTCCCTCAGGTATCACCATAGCTGACTTCCTTACCTCCTTTAAGTCTTTACTCAAATGTCACCTTAATCAAACCCTGTTTAAAATTGCACCCTGGGATTCCCCCTTACGCTGCCCCCATAGCACGTATCTGTTTCTGACACTATATGTGTAATGTTTATTGTTTTTCTCCTACTAGATGGTAAGCCCTTGAGGAAAAGATTTTTTTTTTTTTAATTGATGTTTTCCACTTTCCTAGAAAAGTCCCTGGTACATAATAGACACTCAGTTATTGAATGAATAAATAGATTTATTTTAAGTGAATTAGTATGTTTTATTTAGAGGCAGGTGCAGTTGAACATTTTATGAACTATGCATATTCCTAGTCCCATTTTTTTCTATATTAAAAGTCAGTTTTAAGAAGTCAGTTCTAAAAATCAAGTTCCAGTAATATAAAATATAGAGATTGATTTAAAATGTTAGAATAATTTTTATTGGTAAAATAACAATTAGTCTTGCTTATTAAGAAAATGTTCTGCATCCTTCTTTGGTGAGCGGCGTCCGGGATCTTAAAAGCTTGCAGGCGGTTATCTAAGATGCATCAATTGGTCCCAACCACCTGGAGTAAAGGAGAATGAAGAACACCAAACACAAGGAAAGTATTAGCCCAAGGGACAGAAAGGCCACATAAACCAGAGACGTCATCAGCCTGAGATCAGAAGAACTAGATGGTGCTAGGCTACCACCAGTGACCACCCTGATGGGAAACAACAGAGAGTCCCAGATGGAGCAGGAGAAAGATGGGGTGCAGAACTCAAATTCTAGTAAGACCAGGCTTAATGGTCTGACTGAGACTGGAGGAACCCCAGAAAGCATGGCCCCTGGATTCTCTGTCAGCCCAGAACTAAAACAGTTTCCGAGGTCAGTGCTTCAGACAGGGATTGGACTGGACTGTGGGACATAAAGTGATGCTTATAAGGAGTGTGCCTCTTTGCTCAAGTAGATATAAGAGACTAAATGGGCAGCTTCTGTCCGGAGGTGAGATGGGAAGGCAGAGAGGGTTAGGAGCTGGTTGAATGGACGTGGGGAATCAGGAGTGGAAAGGAGGAGTGTGCTGTCGCAGTATGGGGAGAGCAATTAGAGTCACATAACAATGTATGTATAAATTTTGGTATGGGTGGGGCAAAACAATCTTTTTTTCACTCTGTATATATTCTGCCACAAAATGTTTATTTTATGAGAAAGAACTTGAATTCCTTTCTTTAAAGAAATTGGAGGGATGAGATAAGAGCCCTTCTTGAATTAGAAATACCTTAGTTTCTTAGTGCTGCTGTAACAGAAGTATATTATCTCACAGTTCAGGAGGTTAGAAATCTGAATTCAGGACACCTGGCTCTAGGGGAAGGCTCTCTCTTTGTTGGCTATGGGGAAAAATTCTTGTCTCATTTTCTCTAGCCTGCCATCCTCGGAGTTCCTGGACTTGTAGGCTGGTCTGCTTTCATTGTCTTCAGATAATGTCTGTCTTTCCCCTGTGTCTGTCTTTTGTGCCTCATCTGATCTTTTATATCTCAAAAGTGATTGGCTTAAAAAAATCCTACACTGATATGGCCTCATTGACATAACAAAGAAAACTCCATTCCCAAATGAGATTACATCCACAGGTATAGGTGTTAGGATTCGTAGCGCACATTTTCGGGGGACACCATTCAATCCATAACAGAAGGTAAAAGTAAATGCTCTTGGCACATCCTCTACCAAGTCTCTCTTCCCTGAATCTTTAAAAAGAATCTAAAGGAAATCTGTTTAAAATGCTCATCAAGGGTAGTCTTTGAAGGGCAAGTGAGGGAGGAAAGGTAAGTCATAAAAGACTGAGAGTGAAGGTCCAATAAGAGGAAGGGGACAGGTAGGCATCCCAGCTCAGAGAAGTATATGTGAACAGCTTGAGGTACAGCTCTGTCAAGTGTCCTGTTTGTCATATGCTAATTCTGTTAGCACAAGAGCTTAATATTTATTGACCAAGAGTAAAAAAAAAAACCCACTTTGCATTATTTCTATCTGAAAATATA